CTTTCTCTCTGTCTCTCTCTGGTCAAATTTTTTAAAAAATGAATGAATAAATAAAAATAAATAAATAATACATTAAAAAAAAAAAAGTGGTCTGGGACCCGCAGGTGGTGTGGTGGTTGAGCTGCTGTGGTTCAAGTCTCAGACCCAGAGGCTTGCTTTCTACTTTCCCTCTCTCTCTGGTCAAATGAAAAAAAAAAAAAAGATAAGGAATAAAAGTAAATACAGAAAAAGCAATTAGTCTATCTGACCTACATAGTATGACCACAAAACAAAATACAGAAGATTTTGAATAGAATGAACATGCTCAACACTGAAGACCTCAAGCCACTACTGAGAGGAATTAAAGTTTTCTTCTTTGTCGTTGTTAGAATTATTTTATTGAACTTTATTTATTTGTTTATTTTAATTCAACTAGAGAGAGGAAGCAGGCTGCCAGGTCCAGGACTCAAACTGCGGTCAGCCATGTGGGAGTCCAGTGCCCTTAACCACCACGCCACCTGCAGCCCCGGGAATTAAAGGTTTCAAAGATGCTCATACACTCAACAGATATACCATATCCAAGGAAGGCAGACGAGTCTCAACAGGACTCAAAAGCCTGAGATCACATAGAATGTTCTCTGAGCACTTCAACATTAAACTAGAAAGAGTGAAAAAACAAAACAAACTCCTTGAATGCCCAAATCATATTAGAGAATTAAATAAAAAACACACCTTTAAAGAGATTTTTGCTGTAGGGTATGTGCCCTCGCCAGAGAGATAAACAGCAAGAAATCACCGCCCCCGCCCCCCAGGGGGGATAGCCAGGCTGCAATTCCTTCTCCAGTCTCAGGATTTGGGGCACACACACACCCAGCGGTTTTAAGCTGCTGGGTCCTACACTCAAACTGCGACTGACTACATGGGAGTCCAGTGCTGAAACCATCCCACCAGCTGCTGGTTCCTGATTTTGTTTGCTTTATTTTATGGCGCTGGGATAACTACGTGGAGAAGCCTGAATTGCAGACCTCTTCCTCATACCACACACAAAGCCAACTCACTCTGGATCACACACCCACATTTCCTTGCAGTGTTTGGATTCAAGGCCAGCATGTGCACGAGAGTCCGACGGACAGGGAAAGCGAGAAGCCTGCCCCCGTGGGGGTCCGGTGCCTTCACCACCGCGCAGTGCTGGCCTGTAGAGACCTACATTTGAAATCTAAAGCTGCAAGTCCCACGGCACAGCCGTGAAGGGAATGGATCCTACATGGCCGTCCACGGGAAATCCGGGCCCTAGCAGCTTGAAGAACACACAGGGCACACATGCACACGTGCACACGTGCCTACAATCCCTAAAGGAGGGGGAGACAGAGAAGGGACTGCAGCACCATGGGGTGCTTTCTCCCTCTCCTCTCTTTTCTCTCCCTGGCGAGAGTAAACAGTCTCTGGAAAAAATAAGTAAATAAATAAAAACACAAGCCTCCAGAAGAAAACACCAGGGAGTACTTCTACAGCCTAGGGACAGAGGCAGGCAAAGATTTCTCAGAACAGTACAGATACCAACCTTTACAATTAATGCCCTTAGAGAAACGGTGAGTGGGGGCCGGCAGGTGGCATGGGGGTTCAAGGAACTAGATTCCCACATAGTCGACCATGGTTCAAGTCCCAGACCTGGTGGTTTGCTTTCTTGCTTTCCCTTTCTCTCTCTGGTCAAATTTTAATAATAATAATAAATGGAATTCAATAAGCACATAATTATTTTTTAAAATGAGAAGTGGACTTGGTGAAAACTTTTCAAGTCACGAGGCTACAACTCATACCACTCAGCCACTTGGGGTCCAGCTCTCTGAACCATCAAGACACAGGGCAGCCCTAAAAAAAACTACTGTTTTAAAAAACAGAAGAACCGATGCAAGTAGAATTACAAAGCGATGACCCTCGAATCAGTGTGTAAGTTTGTCAGGTGCCAAGGACAACGGACTGCTCACTCCCACCACACGCGGCCAGGCGGGGGCCGTTCCTGGGCCCCTGCGGCCTCTGTGCTTCAGGGCGGGCGGCACGGGTTGGTGCAGTCAGGGTGCAACTGCGAAGCACCCAGTGGGACAGACACGCTAAGGCATTTGTCTCCAGGAATTGCCACCGGGCTGGTGAGCTGAAAAAGGGCCAGGTCCCGGAACCTGTGACGGGACGGCCGTGGTCTGAATGCGGTGTCCTGCCCAAGCTGGCAGGGTTGAACCCAGTCACCAGTGCGACGGTTTCTGGAGGGAGGGCCTTCAGAGACGCACACATGAAGGCCGGTCTTTCAGGAATAAAGGAGATTCCAGATAACTCCCCTTCCGCCGGCTGGTGACACAGCAGGAAGACGGTCAGCGGGAACCAGGCAGCGGCCTCCCCAGACACACAGTCCCGGGCCTTCAGCCTCAGCACTGCGAGGAGGCTGTACCGCAGTCCGTGTGGACGGGGACACTTACCCTACTTGGAGAGATCTTCGCAAACATAATTAAGTTCTTGAGACAGGATCATCCTGGATTATCCAGATAGGTCCTAAATCCATTAAAAAGGGTTCTTTCCTTTTTTTAGGTTTTTGCCACAGGGTGCATGTCGGGGAGAAACAGAGACTGTGAGGGGGAAAGGGAGAACTCGCCACCCAGGTGGGATGGCCATGCCAGTCCCTCCTCCTCCACTCCTGGGATTTGGGGCATAGGCACACCCACCCAGTGTGAATTTCAAGCTGGCCGGTCCTGGGACTCAAACCACGGTCAATCATGTGGGAGTCCAGCAATGTAACCACTATACCACCTGCTGGCCCCCAAGAAGTGCTCTTTTAAGAGAAACCCAGAGAACAGACAGGAAACGGGGGTGTGAGCGCAGAGGCAGACTGGAGTGCGCGGGCCGCAGCTGCCCCAGAGGCTGCCGAGGCCAAGAGCCGAAGGTTGGCGTCTGGCGCAGTGCCTGGTGCCGACTGGGCGGCTGCTGGCCTCTTGGCCACACGAGCACACCTGCTGCCGAAGCTGCTCGGGTTGAGGGGACAAGTCATGACGGCCACAGGGAGCTTGGGCAGTGGCTAGAAACGACACGGTCTCCCCTATCCCAGTTCTGCATCTCTGGTCTCCTGTAACGTGAAGAGTGGTGTAGAGTGAATCTGATCGACGTATCTTGGAGAGTTCGTTTATTTCTTCCATGAATGAGAGAAGGCACCCCACAGAGCCCGCTGGCCACAGCCCACCCCTGCCTCGCCAGTCGGGGCCACCAGCACACAGGGGTACCTGGCCAGCACAGGGAGCCCTCAGGACAGACCCAGCCTTCCCTGTGGGTTGAGAACTGCAGAGCCCTGCTTACTGCTTGGCCACCGTGTGGCGCTGTGAATGAACTCTGTGTTAGATGATTGGGGAGGAGGAGAGTAAGGGAAGTATTTGCTTAGCGCAGACACAGAAGCAACTTCCTGAGAGACGAACAGGAAGCTCCCAGGGCCCATCCCTCCATGGAAACATGGAAAAAACCACCACATACGGTCAGAATTTCGGAAAACAGCCAGTTCTCAGCAACAGAGTGAGTACTGATCAAGAACAGGCAACGTGGGGCCGGCAGGGGGTGTGGTGGTTAAGGCAGCTGGATCCCACGCAGCCAACCACACAGTTCAAGTCCTGGATCCGGCAACTTGGAAATCATGCCAGGGGTGTGTGCGTGCATGCCCAAAATACCAAGAGGAGAGGGGATTAGAGCATGGCCATTCCTCTGGGGAGTGATTTCTCACTCTCTCCCCCCCTCGGTAAGCACATGTGTTCTATAACATATTAAAACAAATAAACAAAAAAATTTGACCCTGGAGTGTGCACTCCATGGCCTAGTGGTTAAGGAATCCTACAGGGCCGACCGTGGTTCAAATTCTGGTGCTAGCGGCTTGAAAACCCCCTGGGCAAGTGTGAGCCCAAATCCTGACGAGACACAGAAATGGAAGGAAAGGCTGCGGTGTACCCACACCCCCTGGGGAGTGCTTTCTTGCTCTGTGTGGTGAGTGCGTGTGTCCTCTGGCAGTAGGAATAAATAAAATCCACAATCGGTGTTTATTTCTTTTTTTTTTCTTAGATTTTTGCTATAGGGAACGTGCTCTCACCCGAGACAAAGTGAGAAATCACCCCCTGGGGGGATGGCCATGCTCCAAACCCCTCTCCTCCATCCTCCTCAGGATTTGGGGCATGCATGCACATGCACCTGGCCTGAGTTTTAAGCCGCCAGTCCGGGACTTGAACTGCACTTGACCGCGTGGGAACCCAGGGATGCAACATCACTCCATATGTTGGTCCCTTGTTTGTTTTGAATTGAGGTAAGAATTTACATAAAACTCGCCGTTGTAAAGTGAACGATTAGTAGCAGAGCCAACATGTGCTAATGCCAGTGTGGCTCTAAAACCTCATTACCACGAAAGGAAGCCCCATCCTCTCCTCAGCCCTCGGAACCCGTCCATCCGCTTCCTGTTTTTATGGGTTTATCTATTCTACATATTTACTACAAACGGGCTCATACAATACACGATCGTTTGTGTTCACTTTTTAATTAAGATGACGTTTTTGGGGCCAGCAGTTGGCGTAGTGGTTGAGGGTGCTGGGCTCCCACATGGCCGACCACGGTTCGAGTCCTAGATCTGGGGGCTTGCTTCCTCTCTCTCGCTCTGTTCTCCTCTGATCAAATTAAAACAAATAAAGTTAAATAAAAAAGAATTCTTAAAAAAAGAAAAAGACGTTTCCAAGGTTCATCTGTGTCGTATGAGTATTCCACTCATTTTTATGGATGAGTAACATTTCATTAGGTGTATACCACAATTTGTTTACACACTCATTACTTTTTTTTTTGAGAGATTTTTGCTATAGGGAGCACATGCCTGCCAGAGAGCAGAGAGAGGTAGAAAGCAAAAAAAATCATCTCTCAGGCGGTGGCCACACCCAATCCCTTCTCCTGCACTCTCCCGAGATTTTGGGCACACACACATATGGGCCCAGCGTGAGTTTTTTAAGCTGCTGGGCCTGGGACTTGAACCACAGTCAATTACATGGGGTCCAGTGACAAGCATTATGCCAGTTGTTGGTCCCAATCCATTCATTAATGGCCATTTCGGTGATCCCACCTTTGGTTGTGAATACTCCTGCTGTGTGTACACACATTTGTTGAGTACCTACTTGCAATTCTTTGAGGTCTGCATCTAGGAGGCGAATTTCTAGATGATATGGTAATTCTGTTTCACTTGCCGAAAAACCACCGAGCAGTTTTCTGCAGTGGCAGAACCATTTTATATTGCACCCGTGACGAGCAGTGTCCCAGTTGCCCCACACCGCGTGTTTCAGACAAGCAGTACTCAGCAATTACAGGGAGTCCGGCGCGAACCGCCACACCACCCACCGGCCCCAGGCCATGTCGACGGGTGTCCTACTTCTTGCTACCTGAGATGGCGTTTCTGCTCCTGCCTCTTACACTTGACAGAACTTCCGGTACCGCGTGCTTAGATGTGACAAGAGGCGGCGTCCTTGTCGCGTGCCTGATCTTCAGAGGAAAACCCTTCCGTCTTTCATAGCTGAGTACGTTGTAAGGAGCGGCTTTTCCATCAACGCCCTTATTCTGCTGGCGCGCCCTGCTGTTCCTGGCCTGTTCGCTCCCATCGTGAAGGGGTCAACTGTCAGTGCTCCTCTGCCAGCAGGATGACCGCGTGGCTCCACCCTCGTTCGGTCACTGCGGCATGTCTCCCTGCCTTTCCTGTGTCACGCCACCTTACGTCCCAATGAGTCCTTGGTCCTGGTGCAGAAACCTCCCGAGGGCAAGCTCTGTGGTGCGGCGGTAATGACTGCTCAGAAGCAAGACCCCACATGGCGACTGCAGTTCAAATCCCCAGCCCCACTGGCCTGGAACACACTGGGTACACACATGGACGAAGGGGATCACGCGTGACCCGACACTCTGGAGGACGTTCCTCTCTCTTTCTGTCATTCTCACAGGCGTGTGGGTGGGTTCTATCCTGATAAAGAAAACCCCCTCAGTGTACTACTGGATTTGGTTTGCTGGTATTCTGGTGAGGACTTCGGCATCTATAATCAAAAGCTTCTGTGGGGACGGCCCCGCAGCCTCGTGGTTAAGGGAGCTGTTTGCCGCGTGGCCAACCACGGTGTGGACACAGGCTCCGGTGGCTAGAGAACATGCGGCATGCACGTGAGTGCACATCTGGAATTCTACAGGAGGGGGGATGGAGGCGGGCCGCGCACACGCAGGGGGTTTCTCCTGTCGCGCTGTCCCACTCTGCTGAGTACACACCTCTGGCCGTTCTGCACACACAGACTTCCGTGACTCAGGTGGAGCAGCAAAAGATAAGTGAAGAACTTCAAAGGCTCTAATTCATCTTTAATGCCAATAATTACATTTTCAAAAGATCAATATACTTTACACTTAAAGGTATCAATGCTGTAAATCTATAGCGTATAGTAGAAAATATAAGAGTAAGGAGCCCATAGACGCTTGGTATTATTTACACAATTCCATACACGTAACGCTATACACTGTACAAAACCCTGCAGAGAAAACATCTACAGCACACTCATCCAGACTGTGGGCAGTTTCTAACATGAAGCAGAACGAAGCTCCCACTTCTGGGTGCACGTGACGGGCACGAGGGCGAGGCCTGCAGCGTCCGTCCCGTCGAAGGCATTTAGCTGTGCTCCATGCCGGCCATGAGTGACAGCGCTAGAGACTCCACTAGAACAACGAAAACCAGGTTAAAGAAAGGCTTAGGTGGTTCAAGAACATCTTAAAGAGGCCTTAATAAATTCAAAGTTAGAAAGTAATCAAAATACTGGTATTAAAAAAAGGTCACAAAATACTGATTATTTTAGGTATCTAACAAAGGTGACTTCTTATATAGGAATGGAAAGCTAGTACTATTTATTCCTATTTCTGATCGTTTTATTTTTGAAAACAAAACTATCTAGGCATTTCAGTACACAAATCACATCCGGCACACGATCTGCAGTCACTCCGTAACAACAACAGACCAACGCTCAGGCCACCGGCAGCAGGTGGGAAGCACTCACGAGCCGTACCACTGCACGTGGCGACCGGGCCGAGGCTAGCTGCACTCTCTGCCAACACGCCGAGCTAACACACAGCTAGAGCACACAGCTCTCGTCCCGCGACCTAACCGTGTACCCGCGGCTTCCCCACGTTTCTGAGCTGGCGGGGCAGCAGCTCCTCTGTAGTAAGAGGCAGACCTCGAAGTTTAAAATAAATCAGCTTCTGAACCCATGATAACCGCATGTGGCCGCCTCTACCCTCCCACCGCCTGCTTTATCTGATGCTTGTATTTTCTTTTGAGAGATAATTCTTTGATATGGGGCACGTGCACTCGCTGTAGAGAGACAGAGAGATAGGAAGTGAGAAGCCACCCCCTCGGGGGTTTGGCCACGCCGCAACCCCTCTTCTGCTCTCCTCGCGGGGGTATGGGCACACACAGGTGCCAGGTGTGAGATTCAAGCACTGGGTCTGGGAATCAAACCGCAATCAACCATGTGGGAGTCCAGCACCCTAACCACCATGCCACCTGCTTTATCTGATACCAGTTTAGAAATCCACTGGTGTGACGAGCGGCAGTTGAAGCAAGGCCTAGACGGACACTCAGTGCTTTGATTTAACCGTCACTCACACCTCTGGAATTGAGCCTCCGACTAGAAGCACCGCACAGCGGCTAAGGGGCTTTCGACGTCGCAAATGGTTAGACATTCCAACTCTGCACGTGATCGGTACCGGAAACGGCACAGGACGTGGCTACGAGGAAACACGGAACTAGAGACCTTTCTCGGGGTATACTCACAGTGGGGAAAGGATCCTCTACAAACCGCTTTGTTTAAAATGGTCACGAGAAACATGTGGCAGTTTTTAAAATCAGATTCCATTTTTTCTATAGATTCCATTCTAGGAAAAAAAGTAAATTTCAATTTAAGGATGTGCACATGGAGTTCATAGGCTACAAAATATCTTTGTATTTATGCCAACTATGTTTAATGATTTAAAATCCTGAGTCTACACAGTATAAATTAAAATATAGAATATCCTGCCCTACATAAAAACGCAGATGTTCAGTGTCTTCAGATACTGTTTAGGATAGAAAATTGTGCTATTTCCCTCTGTTCTGGAGCTGGGATGCCTGCGAGCAGGTTTCACGTTTCTCCAGCTTCCCACTTCTCCTTTTCCACTATCCAGCTCGGCATTTGTTTTACAAGTATGTGTTTATTCTCTTTAAAATAAAAAGCATGTCAAGAATATAAAACGTTAACATTTGGAAAAACTTTGAAGAGAGCCTTGCTATAAGGCACGCGTGCTTGCCAGAGAGACAGAGAGATGGAGGGAAGCGTGAGAAATCACTCCCTGGGAGGGGGGGGCTGGCCACAATCCCTTCTCCATTCTCCTCTGGGAACTTTGGGCACACAAGAGCATGTACCTTGTGTGAACGTCAAGCTGCCAGGCCAAGATCCCAAGAGGAGAATGGAGAAGGGACTGTGACATGGCCATCCCCCCAGCGGGTGATTTCTTGCTTTCTGTCTCTGTCTGGCGAGTGCCCACACCCTTTATCAAAAATCTCTCACTAAAAAAGAAAAAAGACAATCTTCCAAACATAGCCACAGTACCACTTGATTAAAACATTTAATGAATCTTTCATCCTATTTATTTTATTTTTTTGCCCTAGGGTGTGTGCACTTGCCAGAGACAGAGACCGTGAGAGGGAAGGTAAGAAATCACCCCTGGGGGTGAGTGCACCACAGTCCCCTCTCCTCCACTCTCCTCTCGGGATCTGGCCGGCCACATGCACAGGCCCCCAAGAAATCTCTTCATAGCAGCCAGGCAGCGTTCGAGCAGGTTTCATGTTTCTCCAGCTTCCCACTTCTCCGCTCTAAGCTGGAACTGGAGTCAGCTGACCCCCACAAACCGCGGTGGCTGACGCTGGGCAAGCTCTCCTCCCCGCCACGTTTTCCCAGGATTTGTTAACGAAGCCGACAGTCCAGTGTAGCAGAGCGTACACAGCAGTGTCACTGTTCTCCCCAGAGGGACACAGACACGGAAAGACGATTGGCACACTTTGGGATGGTGACAACAAAGCAAGTGAGACTTCTATTCCACCCGACATGAAGTATGCACGACCTCATCCTCTTCATTCAGCGTGTTCCAACACGGCCCCGGTAGAGACCTGCCCGCGGACTGAGTGCGAGCTGCTGTCATAACCACCGTCAGCCACCATGCGCTTCTGGCTCAGCAAAGTAACGCAGTTAGCGCTGCATTAACTTAGCACCCAAGACAGGGACGGAAGGCTGAGCTGTATCCGCAATGGAGCGCAAGGCTGGAGCTGCGAGGAGAAGACAGGCCCAGACCTCCACGTCCCGGCCTCAGGGCGCACACGCTCTAACAGCAGGACACGCGTCTCTAGCGCTCACCCAGAAACAGCACCGGACGGTAACCTGGCAAGACACCCAGCATGGCCGTCTCTGACTCAGCGGGTGGGGCGGAGTGGGCACACCGCACGGCGCCCCGTCTGCCGAGCTAGTGACCGGAGCACTGCATTTGTGACATGAGCTGAAGGCGTCCGTGACAAAAAGCCAACAAAACCTTTAGAAAAGACACGATCTGAACACAGGCTTATCGTAATGAAAAGATGGGTTTTTCCTGGTTTACCGCTCATGAATCACCAACTCGATCTGCCTAGCTCGGCCAAGCAAATTCTTCAATTCCTCCTAAACCGGACAGGAGGGAAGCCGACGCCAGCGTGGGCGTTAGCCCGGACTCACCGCCACGCGCCCAGGCCCGCCTGCCAGCCTTCCGCAAACATGAGCGCCAAGTTCAGCACCTTCATGATGGCCTCCTTCACAAAGCTGACCTGGAGACCGAGGGGGGACAGAACACAGGTGCTGCGGCTGCTTCTGGACACGGACTCCAACACTTCTACCCGGCTTCAACAGGTCACAGAAGACCTCCTGGGGGTCTCTATGGAAGGAACAGCACCGGGCCCTGGACCAAGCCTACGAGGGCCCGGGCCCGTGGGTTCCCTGCACACACGACAGGCACGGGCACTCCAACGAGCACGTGAACGTTTCCGGGACGGCCACGGCCACTCCCACCGGGACGGGACCGGTGACGCGAGCTCCGAGGCCCACTCAGCTGGAGGCACCGAGCTGCACACGGCAGACAGGGCTGGTGCGCGGTGTACGCCCACTCCAACGTGACTGCCAGCGACAGCGTCTGCCCTGGGCCCACGGGGGACAGAAGCTCCAGTCACCATGGGCCAAAGCAGATGGCCAGCCCCTCCCCCGCACCCCT